GCCTCCCAGGGGCCTCCCAAGGGCCTCAAGGCCAGAACGAATCTGACGCGATGGCTCCCTTTGGTTATTGCACCGGCAAAGCAAATGAAATTATGACTCAACTTCTACCAAAGTAGCTTTGGGTGTTGCACCGGCAAAAGAAATGAACATCAGGCTTTATGACCCAATTTCTACCAAGGTGGCTTTGGTTACGGATGAAATGAATATCTTTATGATTCAACTTCTAACAAGGTGGCTCGCAGGGGCCTCCAGGGGCCTCCCAGGGGCCTTCAAGGCCAGAACGAATCTGACGCGATGGCTCCCTTTGGTTATTGCACCGGCAAAGCAACTGAAAATCAGGCTTTATGACTCAACTTCCTCCAAGGCAGCTTTGGGTATTGCACCTGCAAAGGAAATGAACATGTGGCTTTGGTTACAAAAGAAATGAATATCTTTATGATTCAACTTCTACCACGGTGACTCGCAGGGGCCTCCCAGGGGCCTCCCAAGGGCCTCAAGGCCAGAACGAATCTGACGCGATGGCTCCCTTTGGTTATTACACCGGCAAAGCAAATGAAATTATGACTCAACTTCTACCAAGGTAGCTTTGGGTATTGCACCGACAAAAGAAATGAACATCAGGCTTTATTATGACCCAGTTTCTACCAAGGTGGCTTTGGTTACGAAAGAAATGAATATCTTTATGGTTCAACTTCTAACAAGGTGGCTCGCAGGGGCCTCCAGGGGCCTCCCAGGGGCCTTCAAGGCCAGAACGAATCTGACGCGACGGCTCCCTTTGGTTATTGCACCGGCAAAGCAACTGAAAATCAGGCTTTATGACTCAACTTCCTCCAAGGTAGCTTTGGGTATTGCACCTGCAAAGGAAATGAACATCAGGCTTTATGACCCAATTTCTACCAAGGTGGCTTTGGTTACAAAAGAAAAGAATATCTTTATGACTCAACTTCTACCAAGGTGGCTCAAGGGGCCTCCCTCCCAGGAACCTCCCCGAGGACCTCCCAGGAACCTCCCAGAAGCCTCCCAGAACCTCGCACCCAGTGGCCTCCTAAAGCCTGAGCCAGGGTGAACCAGGGTGAACCAGGGTGAACCAGGGTGAACCAGGTGAGCCAGAGGGTGAGCCAGGGTGTGAACCAGGGTGAACCAGGGTGAACCAGGTGAACCAGGTGAACCAGAATAACCAGACTGAACCAGGTGAGCCAGACGGTGAGGCAGGGTGTGAACCAGGGTGAACCAGGATGAACCAGGTGAGCCAGAGGGTGAGCCAGGGTGTGAACCAGGGTGAACCAGGGTGAACCAGGTGAGCCAGAGGGTGAGCCAGGGTGTGAACCAGGGTGAACCAGGTTGAACCAGCTGGGTGAACCAGGGTGAACCAGGGGGCTCCGTGACCCGTCCCTGGGGGGGCCCCGGGACAGGCGGATCCTAAATCCTAAATCCTAAACCCTAAATCCTAAATCCTAAACCCTAAATCCTAAACCCTAAATCCTAAATCCTACATTCTAAATCCTAAATCCTAAACCCTAAATCCTAAATCCTAAATCCTAAATCCTAAACCCTGAATCCTAAATCCTAAATCCTAAACCCTAAATCCTAAATCCTAAATCCTAAACCCTAAATCCTAAATCCTAGGATGGTGCTACAAATGGTCGGGTTTAGGGTAATCAGTTAACACTGCAGGACTGTCGCCTGCACGCAGGTTCACTAGCTCTCAGCGTCGACCGTCCTCACCGGACGGATCCAAGTCGGCGTCCACTAGGGCTTAAGCCCGTCGCGTGGACGCACCGCGCCCACAGGTGGGGACGCGGTAGCGACCGCCGCCAGCGCTAGCTGGAGAAAGCGGCGGTCATTGTTTAGGGTTTAGGGTATAGGGTTTAGGGTTTAGGGTTTGGGGTTTAGGGTTTAGGGTTTAGGGTTTGCGGTTTGGGGTTTAGAGCCAGGGTTGCGGTTGGATGTCCTGTGTTTGTTTATTTATTGGGGTCAGAATCATTACGCACCCTAAGTTAGGGACCCTAAGGCTCAAACCCTAAGCGCTAAATCCAACACCCAAACCCCAAACCCTAAACTCCAAGCCCTAACCCCCGAACCCCAAAACCCTAAATCCTACGCTCCCAACACCCTCACACTCTAAACCCTCAAACGCCTACAACCCTAAGTCCCTACACCGTTACCAGTATCCCAAATCCCAAAACCCCAAAATCCCTAAACCTCCCGAAACCCCAAACACACTAATCCCTAATTGGGAGTTTTCGAAAATAAGGGATCCAAGTATAGTACCCTAAGTAATAGGTCCTTATTATACGGACCCCCGAATAAGGTACCCCTAATTTTTGGAAGCTCCCAAATAAACCCTTTAAAGGATACCCTATGGATCCTTTAAAGGAGCCCCTAGAGATCCTCATGAAACCCTGTAAATCCCTTAAGAGAGGCCTGGCTGGCCCTAGGCGGCCCTTGCTGCGGCCACGCCTCCACGGACGAAGCTGGGCTCCTGTTATATAAGGGATTGAATTTGGGAATTTCCGAAAATTAGGGGTGCCTTATTTGGGGGTCCTTATAATAGGGATCCTACTATTTAGGGTGCTACATTCGGGTCCCCTATCTTCGGAAACCCCCATTTAAGTTGCCAAGAATATGGAAACCAGATTATTCTCTGTAGATCCTTATTATGGTAATTTGAATAAGATGCCTATACCCTTTTTGATCTCTTACAGGAACCCTTATAGATCCCCAGTATGGTAACTTAAAACAGATCCCCTTAAACCTTACCCGTACCTAATAATCATACCCTCTCCAAAATCCTAACCTACATAACTACTATCCTAAAACCGAGTACCTAATTATCGGGTCCTTTGGACCCTTGGGGTTAAGCCCTATAAACCCTTAAAGGATACCCTATAGATCCCTTAAAGGAGCCCCTAGAGATCCCGTGAAACCCTGTAGCAAGAGCCCAGGAAGTCCTGGAGGCTGTGCTCTCGCTGGGCGGGCCAGAAACTTCGGCTTCCGACGCGTCGGCTTTTCTTTGCTTTGTTTGGAAAAACAGTACCTTAGGGTTTAGGGTTTAGGGTGTAGGCTTTAGGATTTAGGGTTTAAGGTGTAGGGTTTAGGGTTTAGGGTTTAGGGTGTAGGGTTTAGGGTTTAGGGTTTAGGGAAAAGGGGAGTTTCCGAGAATAGGGGACCCCAGTAGAGTACCCGAAATAGTAGGATCCTTACTGTAAGGACACCAAAATAAGGCACCCCCTATTTTCGGAAGCTCCAATATCAGTACCAACAGCAGTGATAACACAGTAGTAATAGTAGTGCTAACAGTAGTAACTAGTAGTAGTGATAGTAAGCATACTGCTAGTAACAATGATAAAATGCAAGATGAAAACGATAATAATAACACAACAATGACAGTTATCTCGGCCACAGACGCCAGCAGTGATGGCATAGCACACAGTTTGGTTCACTTTGGGTAGCCTGTGAACCATTGAGCCCTATAACCCTCCACCCCAAGTCCGTTATAAGAAACGTTGAGCCCTAAACCCCGAACCCCAAAACCCTCAACCCTAAGGTCCTCATAGAGCCCCGATTAGGAACCACAGAGCTCCAATTAGGAGCCACAAAGCCCCAGCTTCTCTGAGGAGGAAAGATGCCGCTCGCTGCTGGACCCCTGGAGCAGGAATGCCCTGTGCGCCCAAGACTTCTTCGTCTTGGAGCAGGTGCCCCAGGGTTTGTCTTTAGGGTTTAGGGTTTAGGCTTTAGGGTTTAGTGTTTAGGGCTGTCAAGAGAAAGTGGTTAAGGGTTTTGTGGGCGCTGAGCTTCTCGGTTTGCTGGGATGATGAGGACTCGGACAGACTGACAGACTTCAGGTGTTGGGATAGGACGGGCCATTGCAGCCACAGCAGCCACAGCAGCAAGAGCAATCGCAGCATCGCCCGTGGCACCACAACGACCGGAGCGACGATGACAACTGCGACGACGACAGCGAGGATTACTGGAATATTGCCAACATGAGCATGATCACCACGGCGCAGTTTTTCATCTTGCTCTAGGGGCAAGAACAGCCAGCCCCAAAAAGCGAAACACCCCCAAACCCCAAACTTCAACTCAGAAACCCCTGCCTGCAGACCCCTACGGTTGATGATATAAATCCTGCATGACCCATAATAAGGAATATACCATACTTCCCATAGCCTAGAAACACGAATTTAGTGCAGGATTTACATCATCAAGCGTACGTCAACCCTAAGCCCTAAACCCTAGACCCCCAAACCCCCAAACCCCAAAACCCTAAACCCCAAGCATCCACCGTAGCCCTCAACCCGGCTGCAGGACCCCGTGCGTCGACAAGAGCTCGATCGGCGCTGGCGGGAAGCCTGCGAAGCGCCGGAAGCGGTGAGTACGAGCAATGCGCAGAACCTGCTGACTTCCTTGGTTCCTGGGTTCAGGGTTTAGGGTACAGGGTTTAGGGTTTAGGGTTTTGCTGACTTCCTTGGTTCCTGGGTTCAGGGTTTAGGGCTAGGGTTTAGGGTTTAGGGTATAGGGTTTAGGGTTGGGGGTTTAGGGTTTTGCTGACTTTCTTGGTTCCTGGGTTCAGGGCCTTATAAAGGGTTACTATAAGGGTTACTATAGGGGTACTATGATATAGGGGCCTTAATAATCTGTTCGTGTAGCTGGATGCGTCAGTCTTGTTTAACAAAGGCTCTTGAAAGAAGGGAAGCTAAGAAGGCTTTTCTTCCGCACTGTCCTGATCCTAAGAGAGAGGGATGTAAAGAACGTCATGTGCGAAGCATGTATGCTTGGAAGCGGTGTGCACAGAGGCCCGCTGAACGGAATCGTGGCTCAAGACATGAAAAGGGCCACTGAAGTGAGAGCTGTGCTCGTTGGTAGGTGGGCCCTGCCGGAATCTTTGGGTTCCCTTTTGTGTGTTTGGTTTTTGGAAGTTTGGGGATTTGTTAGCCTGGGATATAGGCTGACTTGTTCCTGTGGAAACCATTCTTCGGAGAAGACGACCCGTTGGTGCTATGGCTGCTCCCCCGACTGAACCAGGCTCTTCAAGCCAACAGGTTATGACTGCCCAAGTTACGGAAGCTACTCCGCTGAGTAGGGGTGTCGGCCACAGCACACTCGAAGGAGAACTGAGGGGCCCAGATTATGGTGGCCAGCAGTCTATGCCGCCACAGCTGCCGAACGGAGTGACAAGGGCCTCTCCCACGTCTTCTATGCGCACGGTGGATGGTATAGAGTCGTTGCCCTACAGTCCTGCAGTGGATTCTTCGACCAGACCGGGTCAGGCTTTTTTCCAAGAGGCCTGGCCAGCCCAACCGCGAGACCCCGATGTGGGATCATCGGAATCCAGAAGTGGAGAAGGTGTACCAGCAGCTTTCAGGTGGGTGCATCGACTTGGTGATTTTCTACGTTCGCACTCTGCGATGGAAACCTTTACAACGATGACAAGGCAACAGCCGGTGAGCCCAGCTAATGGTGGCGGAGGTTTCGTGCTGCAACAGCAGAGGGTGCAGAGGACAACATCGCCTACGGCATCCCGTTCTGGAAGGCAGTTGGATGGAAGTGCGACCGACCAAGGAGGAGGTCTACCATTGCCGGTGGAAGAGAGTCCGCCGTTGTTCGGACGAGCAGCAGCAAGGAGGATGGAGGAGTGGGCAGCGCAAGCTCCGCTGCTTCATGGATCCAGTTCTCGACCAGCTCTTCAAGATGACGTTTCGTCGAACTCTATACCACGTGAAGTGGTGGAAGAGGAGGTTCGGCGCCAAGTTCAGCTGGCTCTCCAGAGCCACCAACAAGGGATGATGGATCTGCGAGAAGAAAATCAGCGACTTCGGGATCGGTTGTCGTCTACTCCTACGGTTGCCCCTTCGTTGCCAATGCGAGGTTTCGTACCTGAAGGCACTCGGGCTCATCCGGCAGAGCATGGAGTATCAGGCGGTGATCGGGCCTTTGCAACCAGTCGCGCAGTACCAGAAGGCAATCGGGCTTATCCTGCAGATCATGGAGTATCAGGCGGTGATCGGGCCTTTGCAACCAGTCGCGCAGTACCAGAAGGCAATCGGGCTTATCCTGCAGATCATGGAGTATCAGGCGGTGATCGGGCCTTTGCAACCAGTCGCGCAGTACCAGAAGGCAATCGGGCTTATCCTGCAGATCATGGAGTATCAGGCGGTGATCGGGCCTTTGCAATCAATCAACCAGTACCTGAAGGCACTCGGGCTTATCCTGCAGATCATGGTGTATCAGGCGGTGATCGGGCCTTTGTAACCAATCAGCCAGTACCTGAAGGCACTCGGGCTCACGCTGCAGATCATGGAGTATCAGGCGGTGATCGGGTCCCATCTCAGTTGCAGAATGATGCAGGTCGTGATGAAGAGTGGAGTCGTCGGCCTAGGTTTGTCCCGTTTGATGAGGAAGTTCCGAAGAACATCTTCACAGGTCGTCTGAGAGAGCCGCTCAGGAGCTTGAGCGCAGATCGAAGGCCAAGGTTGGCACGGAGTCCAACACGCGGTGTCCTACAATCGCCGAGGGCGAGAAGGGGATCGTTGGCTATGGATATGGGCGAAGAAGGCCTAAGAGCGGGAGGTGGGGATCTTCGACAAGGTCTGAGTGATGGAGATATTGGCGGTGTTCGTCCCACTGAAGCTGCCTATCGGCCTTCGCCCACAGTGGAAGGGGTCACGTTCGGAGACTATGGTCTTGGTTATCCTCCTGGTCTGGGAGTACAACCTCCTCGAGCACCTCGAGAAGAACTGGTGGATCGTGGCGGCGTCCAAGGCTCTACTCCGACAGAGGAACCGAAGGAACCTGAGAAGGGGGCCGCAGCCCCTAACCCTCTGGATGTGCTGATCACGGGGATGAGTCAGCTGCAGCAGGTCTTGCTCAAGCAGAAGGGTGAGACCATGGACCTCGAGCCGAAGGCGGTACAGGAGTTGGCTAAGCTTCCAGAGTACACCCCGGAGTCCGGCGCTACAGACTTTCAGGACTACTTGTACCTGGCGGAGCAGCAGATTGGGAGCCTGGCATCGGGAGCGGGGGACTGGTGGCAACGGACGTTGAGTGTGGCCCAGAAGGCTTATGCGGAGTACCAGTCCCTGTCGCCGATGAAACGACTAAGTGTGCAGGTGACTTTGCCCGCGGACCTACGGGAGGACAAGTACAAGCGACTGGAGCGCAAGGTGGCTTCCTTGATGTTGGGGTCTTTACCTCGCGGAGTTCGAGATGAGCTTGTGGCGCACAGAGTGCAGGGGGTCCATCAGATCCTCTTCAGGTTGATGGTGGTCTTCCAACCGGGCGGTGCTCAGGATCGCGCACAGCTTCTTCGGCAGTTGGATGTGAACGAGTCCAGCGCGGGCCCAGCAGAGGCGGTGATAGCAATCCGGCGATGGTACCGGCTCCTCCAGAGGGCATCCGACCTCAACATAGCGTTGCCAGATGAGTCGCTGCAGGTGAGGTCGTTGTCTAACATCGTAAAGAAGACCGCGGACCAGTATGCCGACTTCAAGTTCCGAGTGGCTTTGGCAAAGACGGAGCTGCAGATTGACTCGAGGCCGAGTCAATCAAACGTGATGAGGTTCCTCCAGCACCTTTTGGCGGAGCTTGAGCAGTTGGGTGGCGGGTCCAGACGCGGCCCAGCAACCACGTCCTCTACTACCACAGCGGGATCTGGAGCGACGGCTCCCGCGGGCTCTTCTACCACCTTGAAGGGAATGCAGCAGAGCGTTGAGGATGCAAAGGGCAAGGGAAAGGCTACGCCCCCTGCGCCTAAGAAGGCTTGCCAGTGGTTTGGTACCGATGCTGGATGCAGGAATGGCAAGTCGTGTGGGTTTACCCACTCGTGGCAAGGGTTGAACCGTACAGAGCGATGTTTGCTCTGTGGGAGCAAGCAGCACCGGGCGAAGGATTGCGCTACGAAGGACAATCCGCCTTCGCCTACACGTGCTCCACCTCCACCACCAAAGGCGACGGCAGCAGCTTTATCCACTACTTCTTCGACCACGGCTGTGAGCGGAACTCCGGCGGCGAAGGCGGCTGCGGTGCCACCGATTGTGGTTCCTGATTCGGCCCCCCCCATTGGGAGCGCTACCTCTAATGGAAACAAGATCGACGCGGCCAAGATGACGGAGATCCTGACCGAGACGAACCGGATGCTGAAGACCTTGACGGAGCAGCAGGTTTCGGAACCATCTACTACGGCACCTCCCACGGATCCTCTGGTGTTGATTCAGCAGCAGTTGGATGAGGTTCGAAGGATGAAGGTGATTCAAGTGAAGGGACCTGAGAGTTCTACGGCGCCCTTCTCCAGTGCGGTGGCTTGGTATGAAGCAAGGTTGAGTGCTTCTACGTGTGCTCAGCCCTCCGCTGCTGAGGAGGGCGAAGCGCTCTTGGACAGCGGGGCCAGCCACGCTTACAGACCAGCCTTGTTACCTCAAGATGCTACGACAACCAAGACGGTTACGGTGACATTGGCGACTGGAGAAGAGCGGAATCTTGCTCAGACGGGCGGCGGCACGCTACTGGGGGAAGAAGGGTCAGAAGCCATTGTTCCGATGGGGCAGCTGGTGCGACTTCTGGGTTGCCGCATTTCATGGACTCCGTCGAAACTTACTGTTATCCACCCAGTCCATGGACGCTTGCAAGTTCGACTAAGGGGCCAGTGTCCGGTGATGCCCGTTTCCCAGGCGATGACCTTGATTTCGGAGCTCGAAGAAGCAAGGATAAGGGAGTTTGAGAAGACCGTTGCAGACCTGAGGTCTCAGGTGCGTGTGCTCCGTGAACGGGGCAGGGAAGATTGGAGCTGGCAGCGGCACTTGAAGTCGTTCTGTGAAGAGGGCGACCGTACGTCTATGGCAGGTTTCCTTCACACGTGCCCGGTCTTTGCGGCCCTTCCCCCAGAAGTTCTACTTGGTCTTCCTGAGGCAGTTCCGCCGACCTTGAAGGATGGGTGGAAGATGCTGAAGGGGCTGCCTTGGTCCCGAGCGAAGCGCAAGGTTTTGTTCCAGAGTGACAGCTGGGTTGTCCACCTGTGTGCGGGAGACAATCGATCTTGGGAGGCTAAGGAGCAGCAGTCTATGAGACGGGCTATGTGGAGTAGTTCCTTGACCGGGAGCGATGTGATCGTCGATGTGGACATCGCAGACTCCAAGCACATGGATTTGTTACAGCAAGGTGCTGTGTTTCGTGTGTTGGCCTGGGCCGCGATGCATGGAAAGATCAAGGCGGTTGTTGGCGGGCCCCCAAGGCACGGCTTCCCGTCTGCTGAGAAGGAGGTGAACTATACACCGCATCAACTCAAGGAAATGAAGTTGGCAGTGCGCCTTCTGTCCTTGTGGTACATTGCTGAAGCCGGACGATGTGAGGCTTGGAAAAAGGGGGCATTGAAGCAGATGCCTTTGAAACCTCACGTTGGACTGATGTTGGAGCACCCGGCGGCGCAAGAGGGGCAGCGTTCAATCTTTGATCACTTGATCTGGAAGTCCTTCGCTGAGGAAGAGCTGATGGGAGAGGTGAAGATCATGATGAATGGCCGAAAAACAGTCCTGGGGAGCAACTTAAACCTTTGGCATCTTGAAGGGGCTTCTTTCGGGGCGCTGACCCCGGGAACTCCTGGTTGTTCAGTGTGGCCGATGGAGCTGGTGGCTCATGTTGCTGGTGCTCTAAGGAGTTGGGCGGGACTACGTCATCGTGAAGGACTCTTGGCCTCGCTAACAAGAAGGTTGCAATCTTCCGAGGATGCAAAGGGTGGCTTGGCAAAGTTTGATGTGGCCGAATGGAAGCTACATTTGCAACGTGATCATCTGCCCTACAGGAGAGACTGTCGGGTTTGCATCGAGCGAGCCAGTGGAAAACCTCACCGCAAGGTCACGCACCCGTCGGCGTACAGTTTGGCAGTGGATGCAGCTGGTCCCTTCAGAGTGAAGGGCGCGGGTGGCTACAAGTACCTGATGGTCGGTTGCTACAGATTTCCTAAGATGGCGGGAATTGGAGAGAAAAAGGAACCGGCAGTTCCTGATGGAGAGATCGCTCCCGGCCCCGATGATGGTGGCGATTGGATTTCTGACGGCGATCCAGTTGTTCCTGGGATCGGTGACCCGATGGAGGAAGGGATGGCCGATGTGGGACTGGAGGAGGCCAAACCGGAGGAGGAGCACTCTTTAGACAAGGAGGTCGAGGCCCTTAGGGAGCTTGCCAAGCCGCTTGAGTTCTCCTCGGTGTACCTAGCCAGACCGATGAAGTCCAGAAGCAAGGCGGATGCGCTTCGAGCTGTTCAAGAACTTTATGTACAACTTCGGAGCCAAGGGTTTCCAGTTTGCAAGCTGCACATGGACAGGGCACGCGAACTTCAAACAGATGCGCTCGAAGCATGGGCTGCGGCACGGGACATTGATGTGACCCGGACCCAAGGTTCGGATCCACCCGCCAATGGGACGGCAGAGAGGGCTGTTGGCTACTTAAAGTCTCGCATGCGGGTTCTTCTGGGCCAAGCGAAACAACTTGGTGATGTCGATGATGAGACGTTGCGTTCATGGTGGCCTTTTGCAGCCGAGACAGCAGTTGCCCAGCATCAAGCCCTGGTCTTTCAGCGAAAACTACCTACGGTGGCCCGCTTTGGATCCAAGGTCTTTACCAAGAGGAAGGGCTATGGAGTCGGAGGTCGTTTCGATCTACAACCTCGTTGGCTGTCGGCTACTTACCTGGGTCCGGCCCGTTCCGTTCCAGGGGGGCACTTGGTGTTCACCGATGAGGGGAACCTGTGGTATACCACCCATATTCGTCAGTTCGAGGACCCTCCGGCCGAGGACGAAGCTTATGAAGCTGAGGCAGATGAGCCTGTCCCACCTGCTAGGCGAGTTCGACGGAAATCTTCAATTGTTGACCTTGCAGGTGGAGTTGGTTTGATGCCAGGGATGAGTGGCGAGCCTCTCGGGGACGGTGCTGCTAAGGCCGGGTTGAAGTCGATTGTGAAGGTCGCGGAGCAATCTACCAGTTCGTCGTCAGATGAGGTGGCGTCCGAGGCAATGGTGCTTGACGAGTTTGAGGTGCCCTCGGAGTTCTCCCAGAAGGTTGAGGGTGGCGGCGATCAAGGTGATCTAGCAGCAGAATTTCTACGTGATGGCCGTTTTACAATGGAGGACTGTCTAAGGGTCTTGGAAAATGAAAGGTTCCTGAAGACCAGGAAGCAGAGAGCCTCGGCGTGGAAGGACAATGAGGCACCCCAAGTGCATACCACGTTGGGAGCATTTCAGCGGGGACCTTGGTCGGGTGTTACGACAGCTACTACCAGGCATCGATCATTGACTGAGTACTTGGTCGCGCTGTACCAGCACCATTGTGGTCCGGGTGCTACTTTTACCTCTATGACTGTGGCTAGAGACTTGTGCACGGACGCCCACCGAGACAAATTCAACCTACGCAACTCCAAGAACTATGTGATCACCGTTGGGAATTTCTCTGGAGGTGGAATTTGGCAGGAGGGTGTTTGCGACGGCAGTCCACAAGTTTCCATTGAGACGGAAAGTGGCAAGGTTGTGAATGGGTTCGTCAGTCCGGTACACAACCGGGTTGTGAATGTGGACCCAAAGAAACTACACAAAACTATGCCCTGGGAAGGTGGCCCAAAGTGGACGATCATTGCGCACACCGTCGGGTACCATGGGAAACTGAGCGAGGACCATAGAGGATGTTTGAGAGATCTTGGCTTTGTGTTGCCCTCCAATCCGGAGCTGAAGGTGATGAAGACACCAGATGTTCAAGTCCGTGAAGGCGGTGGGGAGGCATCATTGGACATTCCAGGACAATTTCCTCCTTCTGATGATCCTGAGGAGGAGCTATGGACTCGAATTTGGACAAGAAGGCTCCTGGATGAGGAGGAGGTTCTGGCAGCTGCGGTTCCTTCCAAATGGTCCGAAGACTTCAAGGGGGTGTCCGAGGCGAACATGAAGATCGCTGAGGAGTATGATCAACTCGAGAGGTTGTGCAAGGACCGCTATGATGTTGAGGGATGGCTCACGTTGTGTAAGCTGGCCGAGGGACCAGAAGAAACACATGGGGTGGAAGCGCTGTTGGAGGTTTTGTCCAATCCCCTCAAGGTTGTCTACACTGTGCCATTGGATGAAGTCAAGCAGTTCATTGGGAGGTGGACCGAGGCCATAGTGAAGGAGGCGGATGCCCTGATCAAGGCTAAGGCTTTGGTACCTTTGTCTCAGGAGGAGCAGCGTGCGCTCGAAGCAAGCGGAAAATTGGTCATCCTTCCGGCAAAGGGGGTGTTCACTGTGAAGCCGCCTGATCAAGAACGACTAGTCGGTGATGATGGTCAACCTCTTCCTCCTGGTGATCCCTCCTTCTACAAGAGAAAAGCGAGGCTTGTTATCTGCGGAAACTTTCAAGGAAAGCAAGCTCAGGAGGACTCCTACGCGGGAGGTTGTCAGACGGACAGCCTTCGAATCATGCTTGTGCGCTGTGCCGTACTAGGTTGGTTCATTGCCTCGACCGACATTCGCAATGCCTTTATCCTTGCCCCGATCCAGGAAGAAGATGAGGAGGAGGACACGGTTTATGCTCTTTACCCCCCAAAGGTCCTTGTGCTTGCCAAGGTTGAGTACGCTCTTCGGCTGTGGAGAGTTGATCGTGCTCTTTATGGTTTTCGTCGCTCTCCTAGACTTTGGGGAAGGTTCAGAGATAAGCGTTTGAGGTCGGCAAGGATCGAGTTTGAGGGTGGCTACATCTACTTGTCTCAGCACAAGGCCGACGAGAACATTTGGTCGGTTAAGGTCGTGTCAGCCGAAGGTGAAGAAAGGGTACGAGCCTACATCAATGTGTATGTCGACGACATCTTGTACATCGGAGAAGTTCCGGTGATCGAAGCGGTGCAGAGGTGGCTGACCAGTGAATGGAAGGCCTCCGAGTTGTCATGGGCTTCTGAAAAGGTTGACATCAGGTTCTTGGGCCTGGAGATCGGGCGAACCAAATGTGGAGGCGTTCGGATTCACCAGGGAGGCTACATTGATGAGCTGCTGAGGCATCACAACATGACTGAGGAAAAGGGCTACCTCACTCCGTGTCCACAAGAATGGCTTCTTGGTGAAGCAGAATGCCCTGAGGAGGAGCATCCTCTGGAAACTTTGAGGAGAGCTCAAACCTTAACGGGTGAAGTTCTCTGGCTGAGTGGTAAGTCAAGGCCTGACCTCATGCATGCGATTGCAACTATGTCGTCTTGGTGTTTGCGGAATCCTTCGTTGGTGGAGCGGATTGGTGTGAGAGTTTTGGGGTACCTGAAGCAAACCCGGAACTTAGGTCTCGTGTACGAGCCAACAAGCGCCGATCACTACATCGAGGGCTTCTCGGACGCATCCTTTGCACCAAGTGGAAGTCGGAGTGTTGGTTGCAGCTTGACTCGATATCTGGGTCAGCCAGTTGCCTGGCGCTCCGGACGGCAGGCCCTAGTTTCCTTGTCTGTTGCTGAAGCGGAATTGATCGAGGCTGTCAGTACTGTTCAACTTGCTTATGGTGTGGCTTCAATCACAGAGGAGATTCATGGAGGCCCACCCGAGATCGTCATCAAGGTTGACAACACTGCAGCGATAGGGTTGTGTAACGAGAGCAGTGGTACTTGGAAGACGCGCCACCTCAAGGTGAGGGCTTTCCACCTGAGGGAAGCAGTCCGGTCCAAGGAACTTCGCGTTGAACACATCCCTGGACTTCAGCAGTTAGGGGACTTGGGAACCAAGGCATTCCACCGACCTCGACTGCAAGAGCTTCTTCGTCTTTGGGGCCTACTGGAGCCAGGAGATTCTTCGACTGTTGAAGTTGAAGGAGGTCATTCCCATAAGGCGCGGGTGAACGGCACAATGGCTGTGCTGGCCAAACTGGTGCTGCTTATGGGGTGGATGGTTCAAGGATCCAGGGCGTCTGAGACAGACCGTGGAGCGGGACTGGAAGTGAGTTTCCCCTGGGAGATGTATGCTGTCGGGGGCCTCATGTTGGTTGCTTCGATAGCCGTGTGGGAAGGAGTCAAGTGGCTCCTAGAGTGGATTTCGCTGAGTCGTAGTGGGACAGTTTCTGAGGCCAGGGGTGCAAGACGCTTAAGGAGGTTGCAGCAGACGATTTCCGAGGAGGTTGCGCGCTACGATCTGGATTCTCAGGAAGTGCAGGCGGAGGCCACCCCAAGGCGGGCTCCTTCGGCAAGGTCGTCCTCTATGTCAGGTCCGTCCCCAGGCGATCTACACCCACGCGTTTGACACCCACAAGGGCCCGATCTTCGTGGGAGTCGAGCGTGAATTCTACGGTTTCTGTTGGGATCCAGACGGATCCGGTCCAAGATGGTTACCATGAGTACACGGGGCCCTTTGTGATGAGTGAGCATGGAGATCGTGTTCATTATCACCCGGCATGTCATGGCCTTCGGAATGCGATGACGAGAAGGAGGCAGGTGACCCTATGCCAATACTGCCAGCGGCATCAGAGGCTTTATCAGTTCACCGGATGATCTGGTTTAGACGGCTTCTGTTAGGCCAGCTTGTGGTGGCTCCAGCGACACGGATGGACGGTTTCCTAGAGGCGCTCTGCAAACCGAGGAGGAGTGTTCGTGTAGCTGGATGCGTCAGTCTTGTTTAACAAAGGCTCTTGAAAGAAGGGAAGCTAAGAAGGCTTTTCTTCCGCACTGTCCTGATCCTAAGAGAGAGGGATGTAAAGAACGTCATGTGCGAAGCATGTATGCTTGGAAGCGGTGTGCACAGAGGCCCGCTGAACGGAATCGTGGCTCAAGACATGAAAAGGGCCACTGAAGTGAGAGCTGTGCTCGTTGGTAGGTGGGCCCTGCCGGAATCTTTGGGTTCCCTTTTGTGTGTTTGGTTTTTGGAAGTTTGGGGATTTGTTAGCCTGGGATATAGGCTGACTTGTTCCTGTGGAAACCATTCTTCGGAGAAGACGACCCGTTGGTGCTATGGCTGCTCCCCCGACTGAACCAGGCTCTTCAAGCCAACATAATCCTATAACTTACCTTTGGTGAGTAGGGAATGGAGGAATGGGGTACTATTATGACTACTATTACTACCATTCTTCCATTCTCTACTAACCAAAGGTAAGTTTAGGGTATAGGGTTCTTTAAAGTCCTTAAAGGGGGCTAGGTGGCTGGATTTAGGATGGGGTTATCGGGTTCTTGAAAGTCCTTAAAGGGGTCTATAGTAAGGTTCTGTTCAAGCTTCAGTTTATTTGCAGTTTGCTTTAGAGACTTTCTTTGTGCCAGAAGAGAGAGCATGCCAGAGCCCAGGTCAAGGGCTCGACAGCACTGGGCGGAAGACACTGGACTGCCTTCCGGTTGCCCGAACCTGGGCCTTTTCAATGAGCTTAGTTTACCATAAGTCAAGGAATATGTGAATGTAGCGAACTAATGTGCGTTCCCGATCATGGCAACTTTTTTGATCCCTCCCGCCGTCCCTCCCCGCCATCCCTCCTTCCCATACGTACATATCAAACCAACATACCTTGCACATACACATACATACCTACCTACCTACGCACCTACCTACATGCATACATACATCCATCCATACATACATACTTACTTACATACACACATACACACATACCCGCAAATGCACATACATACAGGCATACATACATACACATACATACACATGCATACATGGTACATACACATGTAGGTAGCTGCAGGCAGGCAGGCAGGCAGGCAGACAGAAAGCCATACATCCATGCATGCATACATGCATGCATGCGTCCCTATATACCTACCACCAGTCTTTACATGCTACTATTCGAATTCGGTACTATGGTATTCCTGAACAAGAAACCCTAAACCCTATAAACCCCTACACCCCAAACCCTCAACCCCTAAACCCTAAACCCCTAAACCCTAAACCCCTGAACCGCTGAACCCTAAACTCAAGAGCCCAGGAACCTGCGGAGCCGCTGCCGCTCTGCCCGCCCCGGGCGCGCAGCGGGTCGCGCTGCGAGCCGCGCCGGGAGCCGCGGCCAACTCGACTCCCTCGTGTCTTAGATTGGTTTAGGGTTTGGGGTTTAGGGCCTGGGTTGTCTTTTGGGAGCTTTTTTAATTTTCCCATACTATTTTGTAGAGAACCATAATAGTAAATATTAGGGGTTTGGGGTTTAAGAACCTAAGGTTTAAAGGTTTGGGCTTTAAGAACTAAGGTTTAGGGTTTAAAAACTACTTAGATCCCCAATACCCAATGTTTAAGTTCTAAGCTGTTTGGGTTCTGATAGCTTAGTAGGAATCGGAGAGTTTATACTTTTTGGGTTCTGTAGTCGGAATCGGAAAGTTTAAGCTTTCATTTCTGTGGCCTATTGGGGAACCCTAAACCTAAACCCTAAACCCTAAACCCTAAACTCTAAACCCTAAACCCTAAACCCTAAACTCTAAACCCTAAACTCAAGGCCTAGGCCGCCCACCTTCGATGGTGGGCGGCCTCGACATCGATGGCGCAGGTCGATCCAGGACGCTCGCCCTCCGTCCCACAGCCAGGACTGTAGCACCCACGTTAGGCTCGGTAGCGGGACACGTTCTCCCCGGGACCAGTACTGGTCCCTAGAAAAGTCATTGCCCTGAACCTGCAGGGCCACTGGGCTGGTTTGACCACCCCCAAAAAAGGACCCTCCGGGGAGGGCTTGGAAGCCCAGCGGGCAGAGTTACAGGACCTAGGGGCCTCCTGGCCGGTCCTAGGGGGGACTTGGACAACAACTGTTTTTTTGGCGCCTCTGGCCCCCTGGCCCCCTGGCTGGCCCCCTCCTGGCCCCGCCCTCCTGCCTGGCCCGCTGGCCGGCCGCCCCTGCCCCTGCCTGGCCCCTCGCCCCCTGCCCTCACTCTGCCCCTGCCCCCCCCGGCCTGGCCTCCCCCTTGACCCTTACCTCCTGCCGTACTCTGCCCTGCCTTTTGGCTGCAGAATTGTGTGTTTGTTGTTAACCAAAATGGACCCAACAGAGTTTAGGTCTAAACCCTAAAAGGTTTAGGTTTGGGCGGTTTGCCGCCTCAGACGGCGTGGGGTGGGTGAGTAATGTGATGGCCCGCCACAGTCGGGCCATGTCTGCGATTCGCAGGCAACAAAACCGCTAATAAATCCTACAATCCCTGTTACACTACCGCTACGCAATCTTGCAGCAAACCCTAAACCCTAAACCCTAAACCGGGGAAGTAAGGTGTGGAGAAGCCGAAGGTGACCGGACTCCCTGAGGCGCCACTTGGAGGGTCTTTAGGGGACTTAGTAACCATAAGGGGTTCCTTTAAAGGGGCCCCTTGAAAAAGGGATCTATAGGGATTCTATAAGGGTATAGGGTTTAGGGTTTAGGGGGACTTAGTAATTGGTTATGTTAGGGACTTATAAGTACCCTAACCCAAATTAGGGTCCCTTTTAGGGTACTTATAAGTCTACTTACTACCTACTTACTAAGTCCCCCGACCCTCCAAGCAGGGAACCCGAAGGATTGAAGCTTGATTTTTTTCTTCAAGGCCAACTTACGAAGGGTTTAGGGTTTTAGGGTTTTAGGGTTTTAGGGTTTAGGGTTTTAGGGTTTTAGGGTTTAGGGTTTTTAGGGTTTTAGGGTTTAGGGTTTTAGGGGTTTCTTTAGTTCTAAGCCTTAAACTTGGCTAGGATGCCCAGTAGTACCCTTATTCCCTTTTTGTAGTCCTAGGTTCCTTATAAAGTTACCCAATACCAAAAAGGGAGCCCTTTTTTTATTCCTAGGTTACTGGGCATCCTAGTTTACTTCTAAACCTTAAGTAAGCCCTGGATAAACCCTGAACTCTGAACCTGAAGCTTTACATCCGAAGCCGCGTAGCCTTTATTCCCAAGCCATAAGACCTAAACCCTGACCTTTGCATCTTCAACCCTGAACCTGAATGGAGGTGTAGGGTCTGGGAGTTTGGGGTTAAGGGTCTAGATTAGGGGACCTCATGTTCTGAAATCCAACGCCGTAAATACCAAACCTCAAGCCAAAGACCTTAAGACTTACCTCTGTCTTGCCAAACCGTAAAGTCTGAACCGTATATCGAATTTCGATACCTTAAACGCAATGACTTGCCGTTCTTCTGGTTGACTCTTAGGACTTTAGCTTTTTGGGTTTCTATATGAGCTATAATAAGGAGGCTAAACACCCTTTGCAGGGGCTCAGGGTCAGCCAAGATGAGGTGCCGCGGAGACACCAACCTCAGACTCGCACGATCTACGAGCAGCGGCAGTTTCAGCACAGTCGCAAGTCACGGTCGCTGCCTATGCTGAAGAGTGCCTCAGTTCTTGACACAGTCATACGTGTTTGGAGAGGATCATAAGGCTTGTATTTATGTCTTATAAAGAAGGGTGGCATGAATCATGTTAGAGGCCTTGAATGGACGGACAGCATAACGTTCAATCTGTATACTGTATACATCCCATGCAGGGTAACCAATAAGTTAAGTCGTTTAACCCGAAGGGTCCGAGTACCATTAGAGTAGATGCAGCGTAGGTATTTGGGCCCCAAGAGTAGAAACTAAACCATTACTCGGACCCTTTGCCCAGAGAGCCCAATACACCCCTTAATTAAGGAATATAGCTCAAATCATAATATGAAGCCCTATATGATTTAAGCTATATTCCTTAATTAAGGGGTATTGGGCTCTCTGGGTGGGTAATGTAGGAACCTGATGAAGAAACCCTGGAGACCCCTGACAAAGGCCCAAGGTTTCTTCATCAGGTTCCTACATTAAGAGGAACTAAATACATAGTATATACTATACCTTACTATACTGTACTATACTACTATACTATACTACTGTACTATACTACTATACTATACGACTATACTATATCATAATACAATACTATACTATACCTTTACTTGGACCCTTTGGGTAAGAAGAACTCAGGTGAGGGCGCCGTTGTCCCACATTGGCAGCCGGGGCAGCCTGGGCGACAAAAGCCAGCAAAGCGCTACAAAGTTCTGGAGCGGCAGTTTGGGTTTAGGGTTCAGGGCTTAGGGTTTAAAGTTTAGGGTTTAGGGTTTAAGGTTCAGGGTTTAGGGTTTAAGGTTTAGGGTTTAGGGTTGAAGGTTAAGGGTTTAGGGTTGAGGGTTTAGTGTTTGGAGTTACGGGTATAGGCTTTAGGGTTTGGGAAGCTGTCTCTGCGTCTTTGTTAAGGGCTTAGTTTCAGTGACCGTGATAAGGAAACCATACTATGCACTATAGATCCCTATTCTGGTAACTTGAATAAAGCTGCTTAAGACTCCAGGTTCGGCCAGCTTTCTTCATGTGCTTTCTGGTCCCTTACGACGTACCTGTTCCTTAACCTGACAGCTTAAGCCCTGAACCGTGCCAGGTTATGCCTCTCGGGAAGGACCAGATGCTCTTCGAGCACTTTGAGAAAGCAATGAATAGACCCTATGGCGACATTCGGTCGGAGTAGCAGGAAGAATTCATGGTTTCACATCTGAGATGCCAGACTGGCACCAGCGCGCACTCAAGCTCACGCACTCAAGTTGTAGAGTCTTGAGCACAAGACGGGAGCTTGTTGCCATTGTGCGTTTCAAACAACCACAAACTCCGTGTGTTGTGAAACTTCTCGGAATCGCAATTGCAAAGTTTCTGATGTTTCCAGTATAGAGAGATTGAAAAGTTGGCAGTCTAATCTGTCAGGGTTATTCATGATAATTGTAGTAAAGAGCTCATGTTGGAGCCAAGTCTTGAGCCCGAACATCGACACTTGCGTTTGGGATTCATTGCTGTCAACACCGAAAGCCCGCAAGCCCTGTTGCCCTGCTCTGAGAATCAAGCCCCAACCCGTAAGCCCCTCCTGCGTAACTGAGTGGATACACTTTACACTCTTTGGGATAATATTACCCACTATAAATCTGAAAGTGTACACTTTGGGGCTTATGAACCTAGCCCTTGCCCAAATCTGGGCTAGAAACAAGCCGAAGTACTATAGGGGCCTTGATAAACACCAATACTATCTTGGGGGTTCCTGATTGCAATTATAGTATCATGGGCGCCAAAGGCCTATTCTACTTATTAAGGCCCCTATATTATAGTATATACCCTTATAGATGCCTTACAGTAACCCTTTTAAGGAACCCTTTAAAGGAGCCCTGCTCTAAGTATTAAGGCCCCTATATCAACACCCATTGCCATCCTGAAGCCCAAGACTTTGCAGATTCCCCAGAGAGCCCAATACCCCTAAATTAAGGAATACCTAGGGTTCCTTTAAGGGATCTATAAGGGATCTATAGGGTTTAGGGTTTAAGGGGTTTTAATAACCCTTAATTAAGGAATGTGGCTTAAATTATATAGGCTTCATATGATGATTTAAGCTATATTCCTTAATTAAGGGGTATTGGGTTCTCTGGGTCCTGTCGCGTTACTTTGGTAAACCCCAAACCCTGAAAGAGCCCCTATAGAACTGAGAGGTAAAGAGGAGAACCTGTTCATAGAGCACTCGTAGAACTTTAGCACCATTGATAATTGATAGAAGCCGAAAACCTGAACCCCTGAAAGCCACGGCCCCGAGACCCTACAGGAGGCCATAACGCTCTACCCGAAACTCTCACCCCGAAGCCCCAAACCCTAACCAGACGAATCCCGTAAAGAAACCCTCAGAAGAAGAGCCCCTAGGGGAGCCAGTGAAGGAGCCGTTTAAGGAACCCTAAGCCTAAAGAGTCGTTTCCCGCAGTCCCATGGCTTCAGGCGCGCTCCGCGCGGCAGCGATCGCTCCCGCCGCAGCTGGCAGGCGGGAGTCTAGGGTTGAGGTTTAGGACTGAAGGTTGAGGGTTTAGGGTTTAGGGGTTTAGGGGTTCAGGGTTTAGGGGTTTAGGGGTTTAGGGGTTCAGGGTTTAGGGGTTTAGGGGTTTAGGGGTTTAGGGTTTAGGGGTTTAGGGGTTTAGGGGTTTAGGGTTTAGGGTTTAGGGTTTAGGGTTTCGGGGGGTTTAGGGGTTCAGGGTTTAGGGTTTAGGGGTTTAGGGGTTTAGGGGTTTAGGGTTTAGGGTTTCGGGGGGTTTGAAAAGAGCCCAGAGAGCCCAATACATAAGATGAGGCGGCCCAAGCATGGTCCACACTCGGAGTTTGCAAGTCTGGTCTCAAGCAATCTAGGATAGTCTACGGCTTTGGGTCTGGGGCTTCAGAATTCAAGGTTCTTGAAGCCCCAGGGATCAGTCACAGCACTGGGCTTACGAGTCTCTTTTGAATGCTTCTAGACTTCTAGATTCTGCGCGTTTGGTTTACGGTTTAAGGTGTAGGGTTTTGAGCTGGTCTTAAGAGTCTCTTGGTTGGGGATGACTTTAAGGGTTTCGTCCGGGAGTGTTGTTTCATTTCGTTGCTAGCCTCCAAGCGCTGCCTGTCGTGCCGAGATTTCCGGTTGGATTCGCCAAGGCATTTTCGGTTAGAGTTGGTGGTCTAGAGAGTCTTTTTTGGACCTGTGTTTGCCAGTACCGTCAGTACCGTTCAGGACTCCTTCCCAGCTGTCTCGGTTCGCTGTCGTCGACGCGCTCGATTGGATTACATGCTTCGCGAATTTACGATCAGCACGATGGCCCTAAACCCTAAACCCTAAACCCTAAAAACGAAACCCTAAATCCTAAACCCTAAACCCTAAAAACGAAACCCTAAATCCTAAACCCTAAACCCTAAAAACGAAACCCTAAATCCTAAACCCTAAACCCTAAAAACGAAACCCTAAATCCTAAACCCTAAACCCTAAAAACGAAACCCTAAATCCTAAACCCTAAACCCTAAAAACGAAACCCTAAATCCTAAACCCGAAACCCTAAATCCTAAACCCTAAACCCTAAAAGCGAACCCCTAAAAGGTGACCATTCTTCTTACCTCTATGGCCTGTCGGCTCGTGCAGCCATCTCTGAGCCCTGAGCCCTGACTCCAAAGCTTCAACCCTACTATGCCCTTAAAGGGATCTATAAGGGCACCTTTAAGGGGTTCCTTTAAGGGATCTATAGGGATTTAGGGTTTAGGTGCTGAAAGCTTCTGTTGCCCAGGTTGCGGATTGTTTGATCTTCGTGCAGCCTAACATAGGCTTCAGGTGCAGCAGGCGACAACGTAGACCAGTGCAGAGCACGGCAGTTGCGCAAAGCACCGATCTAGGTACAGCTGAAGCAGATTAACTTCGCATGCTGTGAAAAACCGAGAGCTTTCAATTCGTTCGTGCTGCCATGGATTCACGTCCTGCTCCTATGACTTCGCCTGTCGAACCTCCCTCTCTTCAGCAGGGTATGAGCCCAAACCTCACGCATACCATCGAGGGTGAAGCTACCGGCCCAGACTACGGGCGTGCGGCTCTCGAGCCGCTGCGTGATCTTCAGAGTGAGAGTGGGAGACAGGATGCGGCACAGCTGATGAATGGTGTGGGTGGAAGTGCGGCTACATTGAGTGGTTTGCCTCAGCCTACGGGAACCAGTGCTGTGCGTGGGGCAGGGACGGCTATGGTGGCACCAGTGCAAGCGCTGCGTGAGCTTCCATTAGAGAGTGGAACTGCGGGCTTGCCTACTTCCCGAGTGAGGGATGAAACCGGACCGGGTGACGCGGCGCATGGTTTTTCCGGACAGGTGCGCGACGATACGTTTACGAGTGGAGCACCGTTATTTCCTCAGTTCTTTCCCTCACCTCTGCCGGGCCAATCACCGGTGGCTACTCGTGGGGCGTCGACTACAAGGGCAGCAACGTGGTTGTCAAAGATCGGCGACTACCTTCAGAGAACTGTGGAAGTGACTTCATGGTCGGCGCACGGGTCGCCGGGGCAAGCTTCTCCAGGGCAGTGGCCCCTTCAAGATGGTTCTTTGGCTACAGTTCGTCCGCAGCTGCCAGTGGCATCTCGCCACCCGGCACCTGCGGTGGAAAACAGGCCCCCATCGTCTTCGGGGTCCGCTGGGATTTCGCCAGAGCTTGTCCAGGCGGAAGTGGCCAAGCAAGTGGAAGCTGCAATGGGTGATCTTCACGATCAACTTCGGCGAGAACGGCAGCGCACGGATGAGGCCATGCGTGAAGCGAAGCTCCTGAAGCAACAGTTGGAGGCTCAGGAAATGAGAGTGATGTTGGAGCCGAGACAAGTTGCGGCTCTTCAGTTACCGCCCCCTCCGGGGTTGCAGGATCGTCCTGGGCAGAGCCTCGGAGTTTCAGGAGTTACCACGAATCATCCTCCCCTGGTCCCTTGTGATCTAGATGATCAGCAGCAGGTGTCGGTTGCCCGGGGTCTACCTGGTCTTCAGCATCAAGGTGCCGGTCCCCATGGCGGAGTAGACTACGGTAGAGAATTGAGTTCTACAGTGCAAGTTGGTGATGTTCCGGGAGTTTATCAAGGCGTAGAACCTGGCGATATGAGCATCGGAGTTTCAGGAGTTACCGCGAATCATCCTCCTACTGGTCTTTCTTCACCGATGCCGGCGTCTAGGCCACGAGCAAGAACGCAGTCACCAGGTCCCCGTGCCTTTTTCCAAGGGCTCTTCAGTCGCAGTGGTCAAGATAAAGATGAACCGCCGAAGGTCTCTACTGCAGCTCCTACCTACATGCCCGTGTCAGGAGCTCCGCAAGGTTCAGCAGCAGCATCGGCAACACCGGAGAACAACTTGCTGGCAACCATGGCCCGTGGGATCGAAGCCTTACTCAGTCAACAACAAGCTCCGAAGGGTGACCGCCCAGAGACAGTCAAGCCGGGGATCAGTGAGCTACCAGCTTTGCCGGAGTATGAGCCAGCCACTGGATCCATTGACCTCCTTCATTGGATCACTCATATTGGTCCGATCATGGAAGACCTTTCTGACACGAGCTATGCTTGGTGGCATGCTACGATGAAGGCAGCGCTGAGTTGGTATGCTCGTTACAGCACGGCAGCGCCTCTGGAGCGTCTTCCACTGAGACCACAGCCGTCTTTGGAGTTGTCTAAGCCAGAATGGAGCCGGGTGGAGCGACGTGCGACCGCCATGCTCCTCACGGCGGTCCCCAAGTCGGTCCGGGAGGAGATCATCGCCTACGGCCAGGTGTCGTCCCTGAGCCTCCTTTGTAAACTCTATGCCACGTACCAGCCGGGGAACTTGCAGGAGAAGGGTTTGGTTCTCCGTATGCTAGAACAACCTGAGCCTTGTGGGACAGCTTTGGAAGCTGTTGAGGGCTTGAGGAAGTGGAGTCTGTGGAGGAAGAGGGCGACTACGATTGGAATGGCGGAGCCGGATGCTTCAGTTTTAGTTCGAGGGCTTGATCGTATAACGAGCCCAGTTGTGCAAGGCAGCGGGGAATTGTCCTTTCGGATTAGTTTGATCCGGAGCACGCTGCAGGTGGATGTGAGTCCGAGTGCCACGACGGTGACAACCTTTCTTCACCACCTCCAGGCGGAGATGGAGCAGCAAGCGAGGCTTGGGGCTTCCCGACCTTCGGCCTCAAGCACGCCTGGGCTGCGCGCTATGTCGACTACGGAGTCTACCCCCTCGGGTACGCCTTCGGCAACGACTGCTCCGCCGCCGGGTACCAGGCCGTCGAATGGGCTATGCAAGTTCTTTCAGGGCGACAAAGGTTGCCGGAGGGGTAACACATGTCGTTTCCCACATACCTGGAGCTTGTTGGAGAAGGGAGCTAGATCGAGGAAATGTTTGGCGTGCGGGTCTACGGCTCACAAAGTCAAGGACTGCAAGTCGCCAGGAGGAGGACAATCACCAACGAGAACAACACGTACCTCTACGACTGGCAATGCTGATGGAAGCACCTCATCTCCTACGGCGTCCTCACAGGATGCTCCGCCGCGAAAGGTGAACTTCGAGGGTGACGGTGCCGTTCAAGCTAAGGTGCTGCAAGCTCTCAAGGAGGTCAAGGACCTCCCTTTGTTCAAGTCAGTGATGGATAGGGTTCATCGCTGGACCTCTTCAGGTGGGCTTCCATCGCCGCGTTCGAGGTTGGCGCTGCTGGACTCTGGGGCCACGCATGTCTTGAGGGGGCCCCGAACAGGGTCTGAGTGGGATCAGGCCAAGGATGTGCATGTGCAGTTGGCCGGCGACTCATACACGTCGATGAAGCAGACCGAGACCGGATCCTTGTTGTCAGGGGACCAGCTTGCCCAGGTGATCGTCCCGCTGGGAAAGGTCATATCGACGCTGGGATATTCGTTGAACTGGTCCAAGGATGCATGCCAGCTTGAGGGTGCTGATGGTGAGGTTATTCCGTTGGAGGTCGTTCGGGGCTGTCCACAAGTGAGTGAACACATTGCTCAGCGACTATTTCTCGCCTCGAAGGCGATCAGCTTCAAGACCTACATGAAGCTACGGACGCTACGGTCAAGGTCTTGAAGGCGGTGAAAACAAGTTGGTGGTCCTGTTTGATGGAGTATGCAGTGACTGGGAATGTGACAGCGGGCCAGGCGGCGATTGACAAGTCTACGTTCATGAACTACAAGGAGGTGATGAAAGAATGTTTGGTGGTGGCCCCCTCGAAGAGGAGGCCGTGGGATCTCATGAAACAGCTGGATCTCAACCGGCGCTGTCGGAAGCGCCTCTACAACTCCCCCTCCTGGGTCGTTCGCTGGGATGCCCCGTCTGTTGAGCGGAGAAAGGACCCCATGAAGCACATGAGCCAGTCAGGAGACTCTATCTATGTGAATGTCAACACTTTGTTGATTGGCACTGAGTTTGAAGATGTTTGGAAGGTGCTGATATGGGCCGCCACCAGCGGCAAGATCAGTGCTGTGGTTGCAGCGGACTGTTCTGGTAAGCCAATGGACCAGATCGTGGCGGCTCCTCACCGGAGCAAAGTGCACTTTTTTCATGCTGCCGCCTCCGCAGGCAGGACTGTTCGAGGCCAAGGTGTTGTTCGTCTCTTTGTCGAGGACTTAGACAAGGCGGCCCGGCAAGATCAGGAGGATGATCCTCCCACGTGGCCGGCGTGGACGCGATGTGTGGACACCTTGGAGTACATGACTGAAATGGGATTGTTTGATATCTCTATTTCCCAGTTCACAGGGGAGCGCTACGTGAAGTTGGCCAAGCTTGATGGCGATGCGGCATGGAGACTCCATGTTATGAGAGGGCATCAGCCATTCCGCCGGGATTGCTCGGTTTGTGTTCGAAACAGTGCGTCGGGCAGACAGCACCGCACCACGATGCATCCCATGGCCTACAGTTTGAGTGTGGATGTAGTTGGGCCATTGAAGGGCTATGGAAAGTCTCCCGATGGGAAGTTTTTCAAGTACTTTGTCATTGGGGCCTTCAGGATTCCGCAAGTTGAAGGTGCACATGGTCATCCTGAGGTACGAGGGCACCCCATTCCCGCGGATGATGATTCCACGGATGATGAAGACCAGCTTTCCGAGGAGGAGGAAGCTGATGATGGTCCAGTTGAGTCTGATCACCTGGATGAAGCTCAAGTTGACCGAGAAAAGGAGCAGTGGAAACAGTTGCTCGCCACCTTCAAGGAGCCGATCGCCACCAACACAATCTACTTTGCGGTTCCGGTGAATAACAAGAAGGCGGCCTCCATGCTCCCTGCGGTCCAGAAAATTGTTATGGATGTGAAGGCCCTGGGCTACCCAGTGACCAGATTGCATTCGGATCGAGGCGGTGAGTTTCGTGGGCATTTGGTCCGTCGGTGGGCATTATCCCAAGGTATGTGGCCTACTACCACCTCGGGCTCAGAGTCGGCGTCCAATGGAGTGGCGGAAGCTGGTGTGCGTTACTTGAAGAGACGCGCCCGCATCCTCCTCGATAGCGGCAAGGTTTCCAAGGAGAACTGGCCTACGGCGGTTCAGTATGCGGCCGCCCAGCAGAGGAGCGATCAACTTGGGGTTTTGTCACCTCTTCCAGTCGCTTACGGAACCAAGGTTTATGTGAAGACCAAGAAGTACAAGACTGGAGCAGTGGAGGACTTTGGGCACCACTGGGTACAAGGAAGGTATGTGGGTCCGTCTACAGACATCAGGGGTGGTCATGTCATCTTGAAGCAGTCAGGCACTTTTGTCCAGACCACCCACGTGAGGATCACCCAGGACCCTCCATCACTTGATGAAGTTGCTCCAGTTGTGTTGGTTGAAGAACCGGTGCCCTTGCCCAACGAAGCGCCGGAACCTCCTCTACCACCACCTCCTGGACCTCCACCAGCTACAAGGCTTCGTGAAAAGACTCCTAGCGTTGCCTATGTGGGCGAGACGTACGAGTCCAGTGTTGGATTGTCAGAGATCCGGTCTCTTGTGGGTGAGGCAGATGAGGCTGAACCGATTATGAAGTATTTGAGGGTCGAGGAGATCCAGTATGTGGAAGCTGTGGCGGAACAGCTCTTTAAGGAGGAGAAGTACGAGGCAGAGGACGTCGAGCGCATCATGGGCCTGTTTGCGGGGACTTGTGGAAATCTAAAGTTATAAGAATCTTTGGGCTACAGACTGGGTGGGTGTCCAGAATTATGTTTTGCATTATGTTTGCATTTATTTTGTGTTGCGGGTTTGCGTTTTTCTTGCCTATGCATTTGCTTTGTGTTTTGTGTTTGCATTTTTTCTGTCTTTGCATTTTTTTTGTGTTCCGGGTTTGCATTTTCTTTGTGTTTTGTGTTTGCATTTATTCTGTCTTTGCATTTTTTTTGTGTTCCGGGTTTTCATGCTTTTGGAGTCTGCATTTGTTTTGTGTTCCCGGTTTGCATTCTTTTGGCGTCTATGTGTTCTTGGTGTTCCTGGTTTGCATGTGTGGGTAATCCCGCTACAATGCTTGCCTGCTGCCTCAAATCTTCGTTGTGGCTTTGAAGATGAACCTGAATCTTGGCTGCATTCTCCGGCTTTCCTCAAGCAATCCAGATTTGTCCCTGGTCGTTGCTGACTTGCTTTGTGTGTTCAGCCAATACGTCATTCCACAGTGTTTCGAAATTGACAGTTGTGAGGTTTTGCAACTAGACGACGTGCCATGGTCACTAGGTTCTGGGACTCAGACACTATCTTACGAGGACACTAGGCCTGTAGGCAACTGCGGATCATGGGATGGGCATCATCCAGTGACTCAAACTCGGGTGACGAAGCGGTGGCGGACGCGGATCGCAAATGCAAAAAAAACGCAACACATCAAAAAATGCAAACAGCAAATGCAAAAAACATGCAAAAAAAACGCAAAAAAAATGCAAAAAAACGCAAAAAAAATGCAAAACAAACGCAAACAAAATGCAAAAAAATGCAAATGCTCCAGGAAACGGCCAATTTTCCACTTTTTAATGGTTTCGGCAATGGCCGCAAGCTTTTGCATTTTTTTTGCATTATTTTTTTGCGTTTTGGCCGGGCTCTGTTTCCAGGTTTGCGTTTTTTTTGCATTTTGGCCGGCCGCGGCTTCCAGGATTGCATTTTTTGCTGCATTTTGGTCGTCCTCAATTTCTGCGAGAGAACTTGCTGCGGCCGGGCAAATGCAGGCTTCTTGCGAACTTTACTTCATAGTTCACCATTCACCGCACTGCGAGTCACAACCAGTGCACGAAAGAAAGGATCGCAAACTTGGAGGCACGCCGTCAGTGTTGTTTAGGGTTTGAGGGCACATTCGGATGCGGTGCAAGTGATGTGTAAGCAGTATAACAACTTCCCCAGCGCTGGACAGAACTTGGTCCTTGAGTTGCTTGTTGTGCATTGGTAGCAAGCACCGCGGCCACCACCACCACCACCACCACCACCACCACCACCACCACCACCAGCAGTGCAAAACAAATCAAGCCTGCATTAAAAGCAAATTAGAAATGCAAAAAAAACGCAAGCTGCAAACAAAAGCAAACAGCAAATGCAAAAAAAACGCAAGGCGATTTTGAAATGCAAAAAAAAAACGCAAACCGCAAATGCAAAAAAAACGCAAGGCGTTTGAAATGCAAAAAAAACGCAAACCGCAAATGCAAAATAAATGCAAGTCAACATGCCCTGACCCTGGTTGGAAATTCCAACTGCAAGTCCTGCTGTAGCCTGCAGAGATTCTTATAAATCTAAAGGTTCCTCGAGCACCCGGAGGTCAAGGTTTGATTCTGGGCGCTTTTGTTCATGGTGGATCGTTTGGGGTCACTCGCTATGGCCGGGACCTTCCATGGGTGACCAAATACCTCAACCACTACGTCCGTCAGAAGATTGAAAAGGCCCAGGTCTCCTACCATCCTACCTGGACAACGATTGCTGTCCAATGTGCCGACCAGATCCCTCGCCATCGAGATGTTCACAATGAAAGAGGCACCTACAACTATGTTTGCGAGATCAAGCGACCTCCTTCTGCTGGGTTGTGGGTCGAGGACAAAGGGGGTGAGCGCCGGGTTGTTGGCGGCTCTGACCCTCGAGATCATCAGATTGAGGGCCACGACGGTGTCATGTATGATGGGTGTTTGCTCGAGATTACCGAGAAGCCAGCAGTGTTTGATCCGCTGGTTCCCCATGCCTATGTGAAGGATGACAACAAAAGGTGGTTCATCTCGGCATATACCCCACAAGGTGCACCAAAGTTGAAGGCCAGCGACAAGGAGTACCTTGAACGTGTAGGTTTTCCTCTGTCTGAGGAGGAGGAGGAGGAGCGCCAGCAGGCCAGTGGGGCACTGGAAACCAGACCGGTGCTAAAGGCTACATCCTTGCCTTCGGGGACATTGAGTGGAGCTCATGTTCAGTCGGATGATGTGGATGCAGCTACCATTGGCGATTGTGATGAAACCCTATGGGATTGGGCTATGTATGTAGAGAATGAGTTTTCAGCTGGTGATGCAGATGAAGTTCAAGCTAATGCTCCTGGCCTTCGCAAGGTGTGTGGCTCTGATGATCCTGGATGTGAGCTCCCTATGTTGATTAGGAAGTCAGATGTGTTGGTTGAGGAGGAGTCAGGCCCGAACCTCCAAGATGACTTTGCTGGTAGCCTGGAGTACTGGAACAAGTTGGGTGTTCTTCAGGACGTTCCCCGAGTTGCGAAGCTCGAGCCAGAGTACACTGACGGCGTGGAGGATATCATCAGTGAGGCGGTCCGCGCCCGGACCCCCCTTCGTCATACCTACAACGTAAGCCCCAAGGAGGCTCGAAGCGTCATCGAGAAGTGGCGCCCGGCGATTAGCAAGGAGGTTGGCGTCGTCGAGAAGGGGTTCAAGCGGATCCATGTGAAAGACATTGAAGCGCTCAAGGCCGAGTTTGAGGTGCAAGAGTTGCCGTCGAAGCTGGTGTACACTGTGAAGCCACCGACCTCATCTACTACCACCGCAACAGAGGACGAATCGTCCTTTTGTCGGCGTAAGGCCCGCATAGTGTGTTGCGGCAACTTCGCTGATGGTGATGCCGGCGACATTTTCGCAGGCGGTGCTGCAGCAGAAAGTCTTCGATGCGCCCTCACCTACACCACCAAAAGGAGGTGGATTCCGGGCATCGTCGACGTCACCGGAGCGTTCATGTTGACCCCGCTGCCAGGTGGGAGAGGAGCTGTTTGGTACATCATCCGCCCCCCAGCGGCTTTGGTCCAGCTTGGACTCGCTGAGGAGTCCGAAAGGTGGCTGTTGACGCATGGCATGTACGGCCTACGACAATCCCCTCGCCTATGGCAAGAGTTCAGGGACTCAGAGCTTAAGCAGATGAAGTTTGATCATGAAGGTCGCACATGGTCCTTGAAGCAGGGTCAAGCCGAACCAAATCTTTGGCTGGTTTATGAGGTTGGAGCCCCTGCTGACCAAGAGTCTGGAGGACTTATCCTTGTCTATGTCGACGACATTATGCTGGCGGGCCCCTTATCGCTTGTGAAGGGCATGGCTTCTACGATTGGGAAGATTTGGAAGGTCTCAGAGCTGGATGTGCTGTCTGCTGATCATGATATCAGATTCTTGGGATGTGAGATTGCCACTAACGAGAACATGGACTGCATTTATGTGCACCAGCGACCGTACATCAATGAGATTCTTCGTCATCATGAAGTACCTCCACAAGCGGTTTCTTACATTCAGGCTCCCCGCGAGCTGGTGACTTTCGAAGCATTTGAGGGCGAGGAGCGGGGCACGGACTCGGAGATCAAGGAAGCTCAGCGACTATGCGGCGAACTACTGTGGCTTGCGCAAAGGTCGAGGCCGGACGTTGCCTACGTTGTGAGTGCCATGGGTTCCTTGTTGAGCCGAGCTGCGCCTAGGTGCATTGCGATTGGGGTGCGACTTCTGTCGTACTTACAACAGACTCGTGACCTGGCACTGACTCTGAGGTCGGTGTCAGATGAGTTGGTTGCCTACTCTGACAGCTCTTTCGCTCCAAGTGGGGCCCGGAGTTTTTCGGGAGTGGTCTTAACATGGATGGGCTCACCCATCACTTGGCGGGCTGCCAAACAGCCCTTCGTGTGTTTGAGCACGGCGGAATGTGAGTTGGTCGCAGCCATCGAGGCCTTGTCTATGGCTAAGTCGCTGGAATCTGTCATCAAGCAGGTGGACCCCAGCTCACGAGGCATTGTTCTGGGCATCGACAATCAGGCTACGATTGCCATAGCGAAGCCCACAACCACTGCGTCTTGGAGGACAAGGCATTTGCGGGTCAGGGCGGCTTACATTCATGAGCAGATAGAGTTTAAGGAGGTGACGGTGAGATATGTGCCGGGAAAAGAACAATGGGCGGACCTCCTCACGAAGAGTTTTCCGAGGCAAAGGCTACAAGAGTTGACCTCGTTGTGGGGATTCTTGAACTTGGTGCAAGAAGCTGCTCGGGTCTCTATGGTGAGAGCCATGGTTTTCTGCATGATGGTTCAAACCTCAAGGGCGCAACCGGTCGATGAGGAACCGCTTGCTTTGACGGCCTCGTTTGAGCTGTATGTGATGGTGATCCTCTTGGGTGTAGCTGTCGTGGCAGCTTGGGAGTTTTTGTGGTGGTGTGTTGATCGCTGCTGTGGTGAAGTTAGGCCCTCACGTTCCGCCAGGCGCCTACGAGGTCTTCAAGAGACCATCCAAAGGGAGATTGAGATTCAGATGGCTGAGCGACAGTCAACCCCTGAGCAAGTTCCTCAGAGTCCGTTGGACTCATCGCCTCCGACGAGGACCCGATCTTCGAGGATTACTCCGCAGAGCTCCCCCGCACCAAGAGCCACGTCTTCTATGAGCACAGTGCGCACGCAGGCCCTGGAAACCAGGGAGGTTGGAACTCAGTTGGATTCCAGCCCACTTATATGCTACCAAGATCGCCCGGTTCCTACTCCAGTACCAGACCCGATCAACTGGAACTATCCCCTTTATGTGAGTCCGACTGGCGACACGTACCACACGTACGAGAACTGTTGGGGCTTAAGGAACACGAGGGCAAGACCTGTGCGCTTCTGTCAGTGTTGCCGGGACAACCAAGGTCGATCCCTAAGGGACCGTTGACATTCCGCTACCAAAGGCAACTGTAAAGATGAAGTATGGTGCCCTCTTGCTTTAGGCAACGGGCAAGGAGGAGTGCTGAAAGCTTCTGTTGCCCAGGTTGCGGATTGTTTGATCTTCGTGCAGCCTAACATAGGCTTCAGGTGCAGCAGGCGACAACGTAGACCAGTGCAGAGCACGGCAGTTGCGCAAAGCACCGATCTAGGTACAGCTGAAGCAGATTAACTTCGCATGCTGTGAAAAACCGAGAGCTTTCAATTCGTTCGTGCTGCCATGGATTCACGTCCTGCTCCTATGACTTCGCCTGTCGAACCTCCCTCTCTTCAGCATTAGGGTTTAGGGATATAAAAATCCTGCATTACCCATAATAAGGAATATGCCACAATTCCCATAGTCTGGGGTCCTTAAGGTAGTGCAGGATTTATACCATGAAACCGTAGAACCCCAAACCGTGCATCCCCACATGGGTCGTTGTCAAAATTATGGCCCCTTTTTGGGTGCCCTAAAAATTAGGACCCGTAGTCCAATAAGGACCTAGAAAGGGACCCTAATTTTGACAACCACGCACATGAACTCTAGACGCTAACATGTAAAGCGAAATTCCCAGAGAGCCCAATACCACTCAATTAAGGAATATAGCTAAATCATAATATGAAGCCCTATATAATTTTAACGCTACGCCGCCCGCCTCGGCTCTGTAGTGGCAGGGCGAGGGTCCCGGCTTATTGTATAGCCTCTGGTCAGAGAAGAGAAAGAGCCTGAAAAGAAAGACAGGCAGTGGATTGACGACGCAAAAGCCAAAGCGGGGGCGAGGAAGACGAAACGAGGGCGAAGAGAAGAAGTGGGCAGGAAAGAGGGAAGAAAAAGGGGGGGAAGGGGGGGGGGGGAGGGGGGGGGGTGATTCAGTAAACCTCTAAAGGGGTAGCTCTAACAGGTACCTACAGCAATGGCTGCGTGCTCATACATATACATTCCGCTGCCCATTGGCTCACAGTGGTTTTACCATATTGAGACGAAGACAAGCTCTCCTTGCGTAGCAAGACAAAAGAACTACTGTCCGTGTGCAGGGCGCTGCCCTTTGATCCTTAGGGAATAAACTGGTCATACACCTCCTAACAAGGAGCATTTCCTTGTGGGTGTATCGGCACAGTTTTCTGGTAGCGGAGCCCGGAAAGGGCCGCCCGCCTCCTAAAGTCCGCTACAGCGGTCGGCCTCGCCGAACGCTTAACCAAGCGGATAAGAGGCAGCACAATGTCGAGCTCGCATAGCGAAGCCGACGGCAGTTCCCAATCCTCCGGGGGATATGAGAACGAAGAGACCTCCCAAGGTCCAGCTACTTATGTCGCACAGTCATATGCAACATCTGACCGCATGCTTGCATCATTAGGCATAACGCCCAAGATCGCGCCTGCCTATGATGGCACCACCTCGTGGTTTGAGTATGAACAGTTGATTGACGACTGGTGCGACATAACAACGCTGGATGACACCAAAAGAGGTCCGTCTCTCAAGACGAGGCTCTCCGGATTGGCCGCAGTACAAAAGGAATCACTGAACCGAGAAAGGCTTGCAGCCCCAGATGGAGTAGATTACTTCAAGAAGAAGATGCGTCCATTTTTCGTGAAAGGAGAACAGTACGTTTTCCTGTGGCGTTTCCTCGGCCTATTCAAGGCATGGAAGGGCAACCAAGACTTTGTGACTTGGATTGCCAAGTTTGAGATCGTGCTACAGCGCGTGAAAAACTCATGGATGGATCTCTTACCAGAGATAGCTCTGGAGGATGCCCATCCAGATTTCATGCAGGCTGTGCAGGCAGATCAAACCTTCTTGCGCCTACAGGATGCAACCGAGAGAGACACATACGCCGCACGTTTCTTCGAAACATGGAACAAGGAACGCCTTGATAATCATCGAAGAGCGTTTCCTCTAAATGATAATCTCCTAGCTCTCCTCTTCCTAGTGCAGTCCGACCTAAATGAGATGCAACGTGAGAGGTTGGTAACAGCATTGACCAACCAAGGTCACCGAATTGAGACCTACACGTACCCTGTGGTACGGCAGACCATGTTCGATCAGTTCTCAACGACCAGAACTGGTCTGCAGGATCCCAACATTCGGCACTCTTCTCACAAGAAGGACCGCCATGGAAGGAGAGACCAACGCCGCAAACGCGGAGGTCGAAACTTCCTCATCCTCGATCAGGGTGAATACGATGGAGTCGATGGATTCTGGCTCCAAGACGAAGACACCCTTGAGGAAGGCTTTCTTGCCGCCGAGGATGAAGAAGCTGTCTTCTGGACAGTTGATGACCATGAGGCCTTCGTTGCAAGGAGATTCAAAAAGGGAAGAAGACCAAGAATGCGTCCCGGATCACCGGGAAGAGCAAAGGGTGGCAAGCGAAAAGGACGTGGCCGTTTTAGGTCATACCGCGGAAAAGGGAGAGCCAACCAGGCAGAACATGATCCAACTGATTCCAGCTATTTCGGTAAAGGTAAAGGAAAGGAAAAAGGAAAAGGTGGAAAAGGCAAAGGAAAAGGAAAGGACAAAGGAGACAAAGGAACCTCCTTCAAAGGTGCAAAGGCAAAAGGCAAAGGTAAGGATACAGCTAAGTCTGCCTCCTTACAAGGAGACCAAACTGGATCTCCACAGGCCTATGAGAGTTCCACCGCACCGAGCTGGGATTCATGGTATGAGGACAGTTATTATACTGACTCCAGTTGGAATTATGCCGCTTATGACGATCAAACGTCTTATACATACTATGCATCACAAGCCTCACGAAGAAAGACACGGAGAAAGAAGAGAAGAAATCAAGCAGGATCATCAGGTAGAGGCACAGATCCGAGCGCGCACCAAGAACCCGTGTACAACTCATCAGTGAGTTACGTGCCCCAGGTCTTTGAACCATCCGAGGGGCAAGGTGTTGAAACTGCAACAGCGGTGTTTCCGTTGCAGCACACCGTCCTATCTGCTCTCACAGAGCGGATCAATCTTGATAAGAACCCTACCTTTGTCATACTTGACTCAGGTTGTACTAGGGCTATGGGTTCCCGCTATGCGGTGAACAGGCTTATCAAGGCCGTGAAGCAACGTGCCCCAGGCATGATTGATTTCACTTTCTCACCTTCGAACACGAAGTTCTCTTTCGCAGATAGTGAAACAGCTCTTATCAAGGAGCGTGTAACTCTATGGTTCAACACAACTCCAAGAAGAGATACAACCATAGAAGTTCTGGATCAGGGGAGAGTTCCCATTTTGTTCTCCATCGAACAGATGAGGAATCTAAGAATGACCCTCGAGTGTAGTCCCACAGCTGACCTAGCAACGTGTGAAGCTTTCGGTTTGTATAAAACCCCTCTTCCGATTAGTACCAATAACCATTTGGTATTGGACCTTCTAGGCTTCACTTCCACCAGGAAGTATCTCCCTAAATCAGGTACGTCGTTCAGTGCGACAGAGACTGCTCTAGGAGCTAGGAAGCCAAAGGAAGAAGGAAGATCTTATACTAGGATCCCGGAAGGTCGCTGTCCAGCCTGCGCAGGACAGAAAAGGGCTCATACGTACCTCAAGGGTTGCGACAAGGCACCTGAGGGAGCAGCTGATCCACCACCGAAGGGCATTGCAGGTAAGAAGAAGCCTCTTCCATCTGATCCGGCAGAATCATCTGCCAAGAAACCTGATCCACCAGAACCATCTGGTGATGCTCCTGAGCCTTCCGAACCATCGGAACCATCATCAGGCTCTAGAGACAAACCTGCAGAATCATCTGCACCGCACGAACCTCCAGAAGAAGAAAGACTTGAGGTTCCACCTGCGAAGACAAAGACTCCAAAGGGTCTTAAAAACCTTCTGAAGAAAACCCGCAAATATGCGGTCAAACCTCCTGTTGAGGAGAAGTCTATGGTCCCAGGAGCTGATGACGGGACGGAGGTAAGACCACTTGAGTCAAGAGAATACCCGGCTCCTGGTACAGACTCACCTACAGGTGAAGAGATTGTCGCAGAACCATCGCCATCTCTTCCCATTGCTCTTCGCAGGATTCATGAGAAGCTTAAGGACCCTGTAGAACTCTATAAGCTTCACCTTAAGCACCGTCATATGAGTACGGATCAGTTCAAGCGACGCACGAAAGCCTTACAGATCCCAAAGGAGATATATGAGCTATATGACCAACTGGTCAAAAAGTGTTCAGCCTGTCAGGAACACGTGAGAGCTCCTTCAAGAGCGAAGATTTCCGGTTTAAGATCAGAGACTTTCGGTGATCTCACCTTCGTAGATCACGGTGAGCTTCCAATTCCCGGCAAGGATAGTCGCTTAATATTTCTTATTCTCTATGACGGAGCAACAAACCTGTTGACTTCCGAAGTAGTCCAGGATAAAGAAGAGCATACTACAATGTCGATTATGAATGACTACTTTGAGAAATTTCAGATCAACCCAAAGGTTGTAGTTGGAGATCAAGCATTCATGACTCCAAAAATGGAGGCTTATTACAATCGGCAGAATATCAAGCCTGTAGCAACAGGACCTGGAACACCATGGCCCAACAGGGCCGAAGCTGCTGTAAGATTGCTGAAGCATCAGATTAAGATCATACTTCAGATCCTGAAGGATGGTGACCCGCAGTATAACGGAATCACCATGAAGTATGGCAACCTCGTTCGACAAGCATGTTTGGCAAGAAACTCTTCGATTACCTACGGAGGAGTTACTCCTTTAGAAATGGCCTTTGGAGGCGTCCTCGAGATGTTATAACACCAGAGAACGCTGATCCCAATCAGTTGACAGGTAATCCAACTGATACGGAAGTCACTGCGAGAGCCATTAAGGAGCTTGCCAACAGGGCTTACCAAGAGGCACGCCAATCTGATGATCTGCGCAGAGATCTTGCGGCCAGACTGTCAATGACCGAAGGACCTTTCTCTTTGGGAGATAAGGTTTTCTACTGGTCAGAGGATAAGTCTAAGATTGGATCAACTGGGTCCAAACATGGATCTTGGCTA